AGAGCCCCGGTCCAGCACCGGTACCCCGCTCCGTTCCCGGAGCGTGTGTGTGTGTGTGTGTGTGTGTGTGTGTGTGTGTGTGTGTGTGTAGACCGAACACACACCTACAGTATGTAGCAGGCAGGTGTTGACCAGGTTCAGTGTCGAGCTGCTGGCACTGCAAGTGATTTATCAACCCAATATGGGCCAGGTCTGGCAATGATGGTGCTGTTTTTAAGATGGCCACAACTGGCCCAAAGTCCGTTCTCCATTATCAAGTCTCACTTTAACCGCTTCTTGTCGCTTGGTTCTGCTGTGTGTGTCTCTGTGGCAGTGTGTTCGTCACTTTGTGGGCGGATCGTCAGCGGGCAGCTTCAGCTGGTGTGGTTTTATTGTCGGGTAGTCTGATTTTTATTTATTTATTTATTTTCGTGTTTTTAGTGCGCTTGTACCTGATGGTGGCCATCTTGTCTGTATGCGCCTGTCTCCTAAAATATTAAAAAACCTTTGCACCTCTCTCCAACAGGAGTTTAAGTTTCACCTTGGCTCAGTCAATGGGTAGCTGTCTGCTGACGTTAATATCATTTGCACCCAAAACTTGGTTTAAACCACCTGGAACCACCTCTGAGGTGGATCCAAAACCCCTGTTGGGACCAGAAATGGAGACACACCAGCCAAGGTTGAATCAGTGAGAACCAATTAAAGGCACACCTATGGAGAAGAGGTTTTAGTGGGCCAGAATTGGGCCAGACATATTTTGCTTTGTGGGTATATATAATACTGTATATCTAAAATCAGGTATCTGACCACTGTGTGGTGACATCTGTCCCATTCTGATTAACTTTAATGCATATTTGGAAAAGTTTCCTCTATAAAACGCTGGAAGTTGTTGAAAAATAGTGACACGATATAACTGTAATTTTATAAAACAGTGATTTTATGCTTGACATTTAAAAACTTTAAAGAAATATTAGAGTCAAATTCAACTCAGTTTTCAAGTCAAACATCTCAGGAGTTTCATTTACCACCAGTTGGAGTGAAGAGGTTGCTTTTTATTCAAAAGCATTTGTTATTTACATTTTGTGTCAAAATGACAGGCACCTGGTTGACTCTTTATAGAAATTTATGAAGAAATCAGTTTTTTGAGCCATGAAACTTTAGACCTCTTCATAGTTCTTGAATGGCATCTGTGCTAGGCTAATTCAGCTTTAGCTTGATCTTTCTGTATATGTTTTTATTAAATTATGATTTAAGACATGTACATTATACAACCTTAGCACAGTTGGCTTTTAACATCAGATAACTATAAATTTTCACTATAAACAAAACAAACTATGAGCTCAGAGTTTGTGTGTTTTTCAGTAAAAACTGTAGGAAAGTTTTCTAGTGTCAAAAATAATCAAGCTTTTAGTTTTAAAACCTGTTGCCAAAAAATAATTCCTTCAGATCTGAAAATACAGAAGTTCAGTCTTTATATTGTTGGTTTAGTTGTTTAATACTTCAAAGCAAACCGTTGATCTAACTGCCACACATTGAACCAGGTTTTCTGGATCTCCAGAGGAAGAACCACCTTCTGCTAACTGAACATACTTCATTCATACTTTTATGTGGAAAAAAACATGCTGGGTTTGTAAAACTGTAACTATTTATCGATTATGCTTGCTGACTAATGTTTTCATGATAGTATTCATACTTTTTATAACTTTACTACAACTGAAGGTTTACTCTACTCTCATTTGTGTTACATAATAAGAGAAATATGTACATACCAAATATACAAAGTTGCTTCACACATTTAAGTTATTATTTTCCGGATTGAACCATGTCTGTTCAGATTTTATAATATTTATGATTTTGTACAGAAAGGTTTCTGTTTTTTCTATTAGAAAAATGTCATAAATCACTTGTTTAAAAAATAAGAGAAATTATTATTTTTAGTTCATATCAATGGAATAGATTCAGATTTTTAAACCTGTATTGTATATCTAATGTAATAAAAATGTACTGTAGTGATATATTTGCATCAATAAGAGTATTTATAAAGATTGCTCATAGATGTTTAAATTGTTTATAGCATGAAAATAGCATAAACTGCCCTAAAATGATTACAGTAGGTATCTGTTAGTTAATCCATATTTTATTATTTTATTGTTATTTTTATTTCTGACTGGAATCTATTGAAGATTTTAAGCGGTGTTTTCTATCACTGTATAGCGTTAAACTTGCATTTACTGTTTTCATTTTTCAGACATTTTACTCTCTGTTGTACAAATATTCACACTCTTCAGCCTTGATAATAAAACTTTGGGAAAAATAAATCTTAAATATTGTTGGAATTTCTTGTCATAGAAATGCACAAAAACATTCCTGATGTGTGGAAGGAGGCGCTGCGATAGAATGAAAGCATCACAGTGAAGCATGGTGGTGGCAGCATCGTGTTACAGGGATGTTTTTTTTTTAGCATTTCAGCTTTAGTTATTGTGTACTATCTAAAATATCTCCTCATTTACTCCCAACAGTTTGGGGCATTTTGTTTAGGTTTAATACTAACCTGTTCAGTGTCCCCCGTCCCTCACACAGTGACTGCTGGACATGGTCACCAGTGACCTGGAAAAGAAGAAGTGAGTAAAAAATAATGGATGGATGGACTTGTAAACCAAAAACAAACATAAATTCTTGGTTCTAGTCAACAAAAAAATAAAGAATTATTCATCTCGGTGGAAAACATTTTGCGCTTGTAACATTTCCTGTCAACAAGTCATCGATACGTTTACTTGATTTGATTAATCTGCTTTTGTTGTGGCCTTGAATTTCCAATGTGGAACAGAATGGAAAAACTAATTTACCTGAGAAGAAACACTAAAAAACATACTAAAGCCTATGAAATACCAATTTAAACATCTTTGTCCTTCAAATAGATCACTTTATATTACTGATATTTAAATTACTCATAATTTAACTCAAAGGGATTCTTGGCTTTTTAATCTGTTTTCATTTTTGTTAGAAATCTGGTTCATTGTTTGTTATTCAGCTGCAGTTTTGAGAGTGACATGGATCAAATGTAAATATCAAGGTCAGACCGGTCAGTGATATGGGACCCTTCATGGTTCAGGTCCATCATGGCTCTGCACCACTCATCTGAGCGGTCATTGGTTTAGATCTCTGTCTGAATTCAGGATTGGCCTGGAGGATTTAATCCCTCATGTGTGGGGGGTGGGGTGGGGGGGGGGGGGNGCTCAAGTAAGAGGAGACTAAAAAACTTCTCCTCAGCAACCTTCATTCAGAAGGCAACAGCTTTCATAAAGGTACAGTACGCTCTTTTTTTCCCTGCAAAAAGCCTTAGTCAGCTATGATTTTCTGCTTCTGCAGAAAGTTTATCTGTTTTAATACTTTGTTTAAATTAAGATGCATTAAAGGCAATATATCATTTTATAGTCATTTCTGGTTTAACAAACAGAAGACAGGCTTAAAAGAACTGCTGCATTTTAAAAAACATTCACATTTCATGCTTTAACCACACAGACTGCTGGTCATCGAGCAGATATTATATTTATAATGTTCTACGTAGTTACGAGGTCACTATTTTAGGAAGCTGATCCCATGTCTGTGGTGGTTTTGGTGAACTCCTGGCCATAAGACCATCTAACCAACAGACTCCTTATATTTCATAATTTACCTCATTAGATTTGGGTGGTTTTGCAGTTTGTCCAGAATGACATTGTGTTGATGAGTCCGA